TGTCTTCTTAAAGGGACTTCTTTATAAGTGCTTGTTAACAAACAACTTCTCCACAAAATCATAATAGTGTGACTATTTGACGGAATATTGAACCAATATTTAAAAGTTGTTTCTTCTGTAGCATAGAATATTTCAAAAATTATAATTACATGCGTTTTACAGAAAAAAAATAAGAAAATAACTAACGACCTTAAAAACAGGTTACTAGTTATTGATATGATCAATTTTAAAGCAATAAAAAGGTACATACTTATCTAATTAACACTTCCAGACTAATTTCCTAAAAAATAAAAGCATATTGAAGAATTATACCAGTTGCGTTTAGTAAAGCTTTCATTTACATTTGTTGCAAATTGGTCAGTAAGAGAACATGTTTCTTGGCATCCAATACTAATTCACTGGAACTTGAAATGCAAATATGTATATCGATCAGTTCGTTGCGTACAGCCTAGACAGGAAACACTTAGTACTCGTCTTTAATTAAAATTAATTAAGGGATTATAATAATTTGTGTATAATTCAATAAATTGGATTAATTTTCCCTGATATTAATATGCATATTACGTATCACTTAAATCATTGGAAATAATTTAATGGTGCTCTGTAAATAAATGCTGGAGACATTTTTTTATATCTCGATTAACGGTTAGCAAAGTCGTGACCAGCCGCAATATACATAAGGCATTTGATATTTGTATACATGATATACCAGATATACTGAGAATATAATGGTATGATTGTTTAATGACTCCAGAGAAGAGTATGCAATCAAAACGGGATCCAATAAAAAAGAGACCAACTTAAAAAATAACGAGCTATAGATATAAAAGCAGAAACCTATAGACATAGACAGCTAGGACATGAAACGAGAATATAAAGAAACAACATATTTTACATTCCTAGCGAAATTACAAATTTGTATAAATAGAGTACCTAGGTACCTATGTACTTGCTTGTTTAAAACAACTGTTCACGCGTTGTGCAATATGATACCACAACAATACTTAAAGATCGATTAATATAAATGTTGAGGCTAACCTGAGGAAGTTATTTCCTTCCTATCCTTGAAGTAATTCTGATGGCTTTAAATTTGTCAATTGCGTGTGGTGATATATCTAAGTATAATGGCATTGTAATTAAGAAATGTTGCATTAACACTACGCTCTTATAATTGGAATATAAAACTTGTAGGTTTTACAATTATTATAATATCCAGACTGAGGTTAGTATTAAACACACTCTTACATTTTCTTCCATTATTAATTCTAATGGATGCAAATAGAGTAAACTTTATTTTTCTAGTAGGTACCTACCTATTAAATAACTACCTAAAGGCATTAACAACTGTTTTACATGATTCTAATACATAAAGAAGTACCTATTTAACACCATGGTTAGTATTGCCAAAGATTATCACAGAGGGTATTCAACATTACCTTATTCCACCCAAATCTACTTTTGTGGGATCAACGGCAAAACTGTTTTACTTAACTATCCGAAAGACTTAACGGCTAAACTTATATGTGGCCTGGGTTTTTCCAGTACCTGGCAGATGTTAGGACGTGAATAGACAAAAGCAACGTTCTTTAGATAAAAATGACTCTACCACCGCACACGTGATTATTAATAACATAAGCTACTGATAATATACCGGAACAGGTGGAAAATACTTTCATCTAGACTACACTATTTTCCTTTTAGTCTTTCAATCTCCAAACGTAGCAAAACAAATGTTATAAAAAATACTTGAAACGTACAAAAAATTACAAGCATCGCATGGATGTGCAAAATACATATTATGCATGTGCACAAAACTACTATATATTATGCACTAATAACGTTTCTGATTAGAACGAGTAATTATAACGTAATTCCTTGATTAAAATGAATTTGTTACGAAAAGAGACAGTAGGTACCTAGTTTTTATTCATTTTCATTTAAAGGAGACACACAAATAAAATCGATCATTCAGGATATGAAAAATAAATGTAACATTTAAATTTGGTAACAAGAAGTAAATGATAAAAAAAATCGGACATAATTGAACAATTTTTTTTATTAGTACATATAGGTATTTTTTTTTAATTTCATGAGTACCTGCTGCTTTCACTTTTTTAAATTAAAAGGCTTTAATGACGAACAAACTGAATAGATATTTACATACACATATTTGAATTAAAGCCAATTTTGCAATTAGATAAATTTTCAAAATGTTGGGAAATCTTCTTTTTTTGAGCATAGAAGTATACAAATATTTAGTATGGGCCTTATAATCTTTTGAAAAAATACCTATAGACAAAGCGATTTCAAATTTAACAGTGAAATAAGTACTTTTCTACTTCATTGTCAGTTAAAAATTAAATTAAGAACATCCTTCGTGAAAAATCGAATAGAAAGGAAGGTAGGTATATGTGGCATTTTTTGCCCTCGCACTAAAAGGATCGGTCAAGGGGGTCGATAATATAAATTTGGTAGATATCGAATAAAAACTTTTACATTTACATTGACTGTAAATGAATTTGCTAACGCAAGTTTTGATAAAGAAAATAGAGTTTTTCGAAACGTTAACTTTGTAATGTGTTATAATTATTATTATCATGTAGTAGGTACCTATAGTGAATCATCTACCTACCAGTGTGATATTTCTGGTTGATAAAAAACTAAATTAATAAAATCAATCATTTGAATTATCCTTTCGATGCAAGGAGTTATCTATTTAATAGATTTCTTTTAGCGTGGCAAAAATAACCGATCAAATAAAGAGTCGAGTAGGAGATGCTAGTTAAAATATCGTAATATAATGGGGTTCGATTTAGTTCTAGTTTTGAGAGCAAAAGAACCTCTTTTTTTTCGAAGGGCCTATTGCCTTTTCTTTAGAAAAGAAATATTGATTTACCTTTTACAACATTTAGTTGATAAATAATCATTTTTAATTAAACTGTGTATGAAAGAGTAAACTATTTTCGTCTGCGCGAAAGTGTATTATTTTTTGATATAGGTATGTAAGCCTGAAATAAACAAAATCGAAAATTGCTTTAGAATTAGTAACATTCCACTGGAGTACGTACCCTACAATACAATAACAATACAATAACTTAACCTTAAAATAAATATTTCCGAACACACAAAGGTGCTAAGTACCACCATCCTTAAATAGCAGGTTTTTATCCGGTAGCCAACAATATTACCTCACACCTATCAAACCAGCGCCAAGCGTTGGTCAGTTACATCTTAATTATGAGTTTAGTTTTGATATACTGCCCAGAACTGACTACCGGAATATTTTCTACCCGTTCTACCCAGCTATTACACTACCATATCTTATTTCTTACCCGTTAAACCTTTTTTCGTATCCACTAATTACTGTCTTGGGTGTTCTAGCTAGGCTGATATCGCCATAAATATAAGCGCTATCACGGCAGTCGGAATTCTGCCGACGGCCGAAATAAGTAATCTACTGGAGTAATCTACCGTAGATCGTTTTTCTAAAACGAATCGTGGTATGATTACTTTAAATCGATTCTGTTAATTTATAGTGTTTGTAAATGAAATTGTTACAGAGAATGTTGACTAAGGCATTTGAAATTCGAAAATAATCTTTGCTTTCACGTTTTAAACCTACTGGTTAATTAAAACAATGTTAAATTTAGAGAAAACCGGTAACATATAGAACTAAATTTTCGTATTAGGTAAATACCTGTAAACTTGTACAAGCATAATGTAGACGGAATGAAAAATTACAAGAACAGAACAGTCAAAACCAGTTTGAACCAAATTTTAAAAAAAATACTTCTGTATATGAAAATGTACCTATTTTGATGCAATGGTTTCTATTACATTATGCAAAATTTAAGTACTTTTTGTGTCCTCCGCTGCTCCCTTAGTTGTACATCCTTCAAAATCTCTTATTTCCATGGTGTGTTGTCAGTTTGAACAATTAAAAGAATATTCTTTTATCGAATAAAAAGGCGTGTCCTTTAGTTCATGCAAGTTTAAGATTCTTAATGGGAAACAAATAATTTAATTAAGAAATGGGTACATTTACAAATTTTACGGTAGTTACAGTTATTTAACTTACACAGAGAGATGGTAAAATGTAAAACGTATAATCGTATAGGTAGTTTTGGATAAATAAAACCTCACCTATTAGCTTGATTTATTAAGGTACGAACTCTAAAAGATCTAAATCAAATATATGTATGTTTAAATCCAAAATTTATTCTTCAACAATCATTGAATTCTGATATATAACTTTTTACTAAACAAACATTTTTTCCTATATTTGTTTTTAGGAATTTCTAAAGTTAAAGGAAACCGTTATTATTGATTTCAATTTGGTCTTGCAGTTGCCGCACTTTTATTTAAACATAGAACTTTAAGGAACAGTAGTACGAGGTTGTAAATTCATGGGATATATCATAACTTCTAAATTAAGTGTACCTATGTCCTCGATTCCCAAGAAAGTAGAACATGATTAGAATATATCCACATCGCGATGTATATTTGTGTATTTTATCGCGTCTTATTGGTGTCTGTGGAAACATCACCCAAAATCTCTCATTTTTCTAGTTTGTTAATGGTTGTTTGAACAAATAAGAAAACGTTCTGAATTTATAAATTTCAAGGTAAAATAAGTGAATTAAAATGGTAAAAGAAAATAATTATTGATTCCAATTTGCTCTTGGAATAACCATTCATCTAAACTCAAAATCTTGAAAGAAAATAATATACCTACCTAAATTCAGTTTTTAATCAAGTGTAAATCATCGATTCTCAAGACAACAAATCATGTACAATTTGATTATAATATACTAGAACACACTTTTTTTACTTTAACTGCATTTTGTTGGATCTTTTTCCTAGACAATTATATGTAGGTATGTTCTCATCCGTTAATTCCGCCAGTCGGCTTCCAAAAGAAGGTAAAATAATCAGGGGCTAGCGATTTATAAGCCCACACCACTAATCATCAATTTGTCAGAAGCAAATGAAACACTAACCTGTTCTTAGCGGCCGCCGCTCTATCTCTCTGCCTCCGGTTCTTGAACCAGTTGCCCACCTGAGTAGGGGTCAACCCCGTGGCCTGAGCCAACTCCCGCTTCTTAGTGGGGTTGGGATAAGGGTCCTGCAGATACCATTCCCTTAACAAACTCCTAGTCCTTTCCTTGAAACAGTGAGTCTTTTGCTCACCGTCCCAGATGGTGCGCGGCAGAGGAAACTTTTTCCGCACTCGGTACTTGTCCACGGGACCTAGAGCTCTTCCCCGGAGCTTCTCGGCCTCCTGATAATGCGCCTCCAACCACATGGCTTGCAGCTTCCCGTGAGAACCTTTGGTGAATTTGTGAGATTCTAGAATTGTGTAAAGTTCCCTAAAATTCCCACTGTGGAAAGACACTATTGCCCTAGCTCTTAGTACCGCTTCGTTCTTGTTCAACTCGCTGATGTTGGGGTGAGCGACGGGTAGGGACCACAGAAACCGCGCTAGTCTTTCTATATCACCACTTTCCTCCAGAGTCTCACAAACGGCGGCCACTTGGTTCACTGTGAAGTTCAGGGTGGGCAGAGCGAACATGGGATTGGGCAGCAGTGGTGCTGGGGCTACCGGAATGGGCACGCTGATCCCTGGGGACGACGACGTCTCCGAGTGGGCCCCCGATCCTGGGCCGGTGCTGCCGGAGCAGAGCCCAGAGCTCAACCCCAGAGCCATGTGGGTTGCCAGCGTTGCGTAAATGTCTGTCGCCCTCGTTAGAACTCCGACACCATTGCACTTCGAGGATCGCACTATCAACGGTGAAAACTGGTCGACAATGGGAGCGTGGTGGCTCAGGTAACAAATAACAAAAGGTGATCGAGTTGCACAGCCAGCTATGTGTGTAGTTCTCAGGATGAGACTGACATCCGAAGTTGGCGTTCGCAGGCACCACGGCGGTGTGATCTAGTCCACCATTGGCGCTGGCAGGGCTGTTACCAGGGATACTTAGTTGGTAGCGAGCCAATGGAAGAATATTTTGGAGGGGATCGGCGACGTGGAGGGCGTTGCCAGTGTCAGTTTGAAATGTGGCGTTTCGAGGAGAGCCTTTGTAGCATACACCTAACTAAAGGTGATGTATAAAGTGGTCCTCTCTTCTCTGTAACTCTGTCACCATGATAACTTTCAAGATACGCCTTTCATGTTTATTTCTGGATTCATGGATCTTGTTTTTGTTTGCGGCGAGGTTGATGTCTTCATTATGGTCGAATTTCGGGTACTTTTTTATTTGCTTGCATTACGGACAGCTTTTGCAAACATGTTTGGATGTAAATACATATTTATATAGGTAGATTATATAGGGTGGAAAAATGTAAAATTCTGTTTAACTGTCCTAAATTCTCTTCTGTAGAAATATACATAATTGGAACAATAGTTCCAAATTTAAATAGCAAACGGATTCATATCTATAACCAAAAAAGCGATTATTTTGAATCAGGAATTTTACTTAATTCAAATATATTATATAAATAAATCATTTATTAGGGTACGACTAGGTATGTTGTAATTTTGTACCAAGCAACATTATTTCTCTAGTACAGGTACTAGATATTTAGTATCGAAGAGCATATTATATGATTTAATTTGATGAGAGTTTTACAATATTTTTTTAAATTAGCGTAACATCTCGTAAGCATATTATATATATAATGTATCAGTAAAAAAAAATTAAATATAAAGATGAGTGTGTTAGAAGACTTTTGCATTACCACTTCCAAATTCATGTTTTTCTAAAAGAGCCCTGCTTTAGTATATATCATTTGATATCTAAGTACCTACCTACTGATATTACTCTACAGGTAGCCATTAATTTCATTTTAAAAAGCAGCTCAGTTGAAAAGGCTTAGATTATAAATAATTGTATAGGTACCTACTTAATACTTTTAGCATATAAATATTTTAAAGATTTTACGTAAAAATAGATGTGAAATACCTATGGAAACTGGGTTAGCTACGAATTTTCTCATAGTCACCAGATTTATCAATGAATTGAAAATAGAAAGTCTTACATTGGAGACCCACTGATCCAACAGGATGTTTGTTTATATTCCAAAATTATCTGTCTAAAGCTGTCATAACTCCCTCAGTTTTATGATGAGTTAGATTTAACACATCTGGCACTTGATTAAGTTATTATTATTTTTACTCTGACAGTAGTAGTATTAAAATGAACTAATTTTAAAGTAAGTACACGTTATTACATGACGTTTAATGAAGTCAATATGCGCCGTGTTTAATTACAATGAACTCGGAATAGATTTTAGAAAAACCAATAGGGTGGGTTTCTATTTCTTTCTCTATTAATTTAAACTTATAGAAACTTGTATAAAATACCGGAATTGCAGCATATAGGATTCATCAGTAGTACCTATGTGTTATTGTGCAGTTTTATAAATTTTATGTGAAACGGAAACGATGGCGATAGGCTAATGATGTGCAGGAAATTATAGCCGCGATTTCAATCTTTTCTAATTATTTTTGTATTTATAAAAGTATTGATTAATTATCAGCTTAACGACCATCCTTTGTCTACTGTTAATATTGCGGAAATGACAGTTTAATATTCAGGTAAAAACTACACATGTTATTGACGCGTTATCAAGTGACACTAATTAAAGCAAATTTTCCAGGAGTGTGTATTTACTATAGTTAGGAGAAAAACCAAATTTAGAAACAGGTAGTAATCAAAATTTTATCAAATGACGATTTATGCCAAGACGAAATTAAATACATCAACTTTAAAACATGCAGGGGGAAATACCTATTATACCTAGATAGGTATAATTATATATACACTATATACCTACTTACATATAATATAAATAATATCTACAAAAAATATGTTAAGTTATGAAAACGCACCGGCATCCTGAAGTACCTACCTACTTACGTGCTTTGGTACCTTATTGGTCATGCAATAATAACTTACACTAAATAGCATTTATAGAAGTTACAACAGAACGAATAAAATTAAAAATTAATGTTGATCACTTAAATGTGAGAATGTAAGAATGTAAGTTTTATATCTTTTAACCTTAATATTGCAATGCACATTTTCTTAACTGGTATAGGTAATACCTAATTACAGTTTAGTTGTACCATACAGACCAATAACCTTGATTTTATAATACACTTATATCCACAAACAATAATTACATTGTAAATGTTAGAAATAAATACTTTTCACAATACTTTTATGACTCGGTGTATAATTAAGGTTAATACAAGCTATTTTTTTTGTCAAATTGATCTTGCAAAACAAACTGGAATTTCGAAATATTAGCAATATTTGTAGTCAACATTATGTATTGACGGTTTAATTTATTATTAAATATGGAGTTCCTAGCTCCAAACCCAGTTAAGTAAAGAAAGCTTAGGTTAAAATAGGTTTAGTTCAATAAATATTTTATAATATATGTAGGTAATCATTGTAAGCAATAACATAAATATTTCAATAATAGCAGAAAGCTAGACAATTGCATATACTGCACATTATCGCCATGGTAGTGTAGTTGGTCGAGCGTGCGGTGGCAAGCATTTCTCGACCAGACTAACCATTCTGGTCCAGATTCGATCCTTGGCGTCGGCACTGGCAACGTCGATGGATACGTTTTTTCAAGTGTCGCCCCCTTCTGCACAACCTTTGGCTTTGGAATTGGGGGTTGTCTCATTTCTGTGGTGTGTTTTTTTTTATATACGAAACTGTCTATAGATACCTCTACATATACACAAACAAACAATCAGCCTTGAGAACAACTTCCCATATCATGAAAATACACAAGTCCAGTCGAATTTTAAACAATTTAACTTTTAAAATGGAAAGTTTCTCTTTTGAATTTCTGATTAATTTGTTTTCATATTTTTTTTAAAGCTCTACTGGAATGTTCAAAATGTGTACTAGGCAAGAAACATAAGTATAGTAGGTACCTAGCCGTCGCTTATTGACGTTGTACGATAGTTTGCTAGGGACTTAACAGTTGGAAAAAAAACGAGAAAACTGAAAAACCGCCCTATTTTTTGTTTTTCTCTGAAGTAAAAAAATTTACAAATTTAAAAAAATTTAAATTTTTCTGACTCGAAATAGCAACGCTTAAAACGACACATCTTAACAAACAACGAAATTTATATAGGCATTGAAGGGAAAGATAAATATAATATACTTACTTACCTATTAATTAGAACAACATAACAAGTAACAAATCTTAATTTTTCAAGAAGAAACGACGAAAAGAAACAAAATATCGGTACTCTATAATTAAAAGCATTCAAAGAGTTTTTTAAGCAAATTTCAACATAAAAGCAAATTGAAACGCTGCGCTCAGAAAAAAAATATTCTGCAAATTCACTTAAACATGCCATCTCTGATACTGAACTCAGATCCAGAGCAACATAGTCATAGTCATTAGTCATTTATCAGGTCCTTCTAAAAGCGGTCTGTTATTATTTTTAATTTAAATAATTTCAATAGGTTATTTTTTAAATATACTTAAAATAATACATTATTTATACTGGCAAGGTAGTGACTCGAATCGCGATTTGTACAAAAGTTTAGTTTTTCCGTTTTCCCAACTGTTCTGAGAAAACAATTTTTTACTACCTATTATTTCACTTTTATAATTTTTGTAGATATGTACATATCTAAGTATTTAATAGCAATTAATGTTTAAAAAACATATTCTATTATTAGCTCCCGAATTTTTACTTTATTGTAAAAATATTAAACTAATTCAAACAATTTATTATTATTATTATTTTTTTTTTATTTTTTTTATTTTTTTTCTTCTGAAGTTAAACTATGATCCTCGAATCATCTTTAGGCGATTATTTTTAATTTTTATTTGGATAATTATTTATTACTAGCTATTTGTTAGATATTGGTGATGTAATTCAAGGCAAGTTGGAGCATGTAGCCCACAGAGTAGATTAGTTATTTAGTTTAAATTATTTACCAGTTTCGTAATGAATTTTCTAACTTTCTAAGTTATATTTTTTACAAAATAGCAGTTCCTCTAGACTTTTAATTTGTTGTCTATAAGTTTTCAATTAATATACTGTCAGTCTAAACTGAATCATTAGCATTGTCTCATTTCAAATCAATGATTACAATAATTACTTCTACATCTTTTTTACGAAACGACGCATCTTTGTAAAAAATATCAATTCGGAGAATCTAGCATGATAATTAGTGGAGAGAAAACACTACAACCACCCGAATACGGAGCAATTAAAGACTAATAGAAGTCACATTTACGTTATCTAAAAATAATGCTGTCAAAACAATCCTATAATGATGTCGAAATACGAGGGGACGTGCAAGCAAGAGATTTTAGTTCACGCTGAGAGAAAGTGAACATAAAATAATTTGCTTATGAAACGTCAGTAAATCTAAAATGCATAATTTTCTTTCAATTTAAAGATACGACATACCTACTCATATGGAGTTTTTAAAAGGTGCCATAATTTCAGGAGCTGATAGAAAATAAAAAAATAAGACCTCTTTGACCTATGAACCATGAACTTTTCTTTTGATTCTTTTTTATTAAAGATTTAAAATCATATTTTCCTCACATAAAAATTAGACATTCTACGTCATGATTTTATGCTTTATGTACGTATTACGTTATATTTAAATTTATATTTCCAACAAAAAATTACCATGAACTGTTTCTGTAGAAGGA